TGAATGTTAGTAATTATGTCAGACCTCAATTATAGCTGAGATCGTTCAGTCAGGTAGACAAATTACTCAATCTTCAGATAAACCCGTTTCACACTTGAAACGCAAAGTGAACAAATTGAAAGAGGAATGGATCGGCGGCTTCCGGTTAGCAAGAGCGAAACGAAGCATTAAGGTGAGTCACGGCTCACCTCTACATATACCACTTTCATTTCAAATTCACTACTTCCCAAACTAAACTCATGACTGAACTCAAAACTCAGACTTACGCCTCACAAGCAACACTACAAGCCCCGCCCCTACCAATTTCAGCGTGGCCATAATTTTTCGAACTTCACTTCATAACTATTAATTTTGTGACTTTCTGCAATTCTGTTATTTCGCACAAATACCTTAGCTGAAAAATACACTACATGGGCAACTCTGCCCACTTGAAGATTTCTCCGCAAACATCAGATTCCATAGCTTTTTCAACGTCGTTGTTTTCACTCCCACTCTTCACGCAACAAAAGTACTCGTAGACGAGCATTTATACGCCGTCACATTAGGCCCCGCCCTTAGCCACGCGCGAATTCCCGGCTTTCTCCAAAATCTCAACATTTTCTCGAAGTCTCTTCATTTTGAACAGCTACGTGAAGCGCCGTCCACCACAAGGGGCTCTGCCCAAATCGTAGGAGAAATATTGCAAAACGGCGCGATAGAGTCTCATGCTGGGGCCTCGCTCGTCACTCGGAACGAACATCGCCTGACTATCTGTTCCAGATGAACTTTATCCTGCCTACTTCCACCATTCTTGAAAAGTGGGTGGGCTTCTACGAGGTGGACGGAGCTTCTTGTTCTGAACGGGGCTTCACATAGCAGCCCAAAATTCAAGAATGTAAAAATTATCGAAATTCCGGTGAAGCCGCGAAATTGGGCGTGGCTAAAGATCGGAACTTCAAGTACCAGTGCATAGATGAGTAACCTTTTTGTGTGATGAGTGGTAATGAAAGCAAGACGCTCAAACAAGTTGTGAAATGTTGCAGTTTGCTGTTGTAGAAAGTCATAATGTACTAAAGCATGGCGAAAAATCATGAACGCGTTGAAATGTGGGCGTGGCCGTAGGGGATGAGAGTGCTGCCTTGTGAGGCATAAGTAACCAAGTCTTGAGTGCGGTTTGGTGGAAAGTGATTCAAGAGCACTCCCAAATGAAAATGTTTGCGCAGAGCAGAAGAAGCACCTGCCCGGGTTTCCGGAATATGTCAGGATAATGTTGCATTTGAAAAGGCCTCATTGAAGTAAAACGGTTTCAACGTTGCAGTATCATAAATTTCTCTATGCGCATGGTCGAATTTAAGTGAGCAGTCATGCATGTAAGTTTGAGAAATTTCCCATCACAGTCAGCGTACATCAAGGCTCTGTGCTTTCCCAACTTCTGTTCGTGGTCGTCGTGGGTGCCTTCTCTCGAGAAACCTCAGAAGCCTTCAAAAACCGGCTTTTTTACGGGGATCTCGCCAAAGAGTGGGACAAACGCTATAGAATGAGAGGAGAGCTTCTACAGAGTCATACGTGGAACTTCTCCACATACAGGAGGCGTTGGATTTTCTTCCAGAACAGTCTGATCAGAAATGCAAAACCTTCTTCCATCAAAAAAGAAGATAGCATTTGGCTGCTTAGCTGTTTGTCCAAAAAAGTGCAAATGAATTCAAACGCACTGTAGCGGTGGGCTCTCATACAGTGCGTAACAAAAGTATGTGGACACCTCAAATTTTTGTTCCTGCAAAATTGCCTTTGAATTTTGCGATATGAGACCTTTATTGTTGAATTCCTCATAAGAAAAACATAGGAATACACTACTTCTGAGCACTTTGTGAACTACTGTACAATTATTTATTGTTTTGAAAAAGTTTCTTAATAACAAAAGTATGTGGACACTTAACAAAAAACAAAAGTATCATGAAAATTAGAAGTTGGTATTTCCTCCAGCGTTCACTATTACTTCGAACATTCTGTCTGGCATGCTGTGGACAAGATTTGTGATGGTATCTTCGTCGATTTCCTCCCATGCAGCAACTACCGCCTCCTTCAGGTCTCGCACGCTGTTGTACTGCCGACTGTTCATGTAGATTCGTCGAACCATGATCCCCCACAGGTTTTCGATTGCAGTCAGGAGAACACGCCGGTCATGACTTTGATACCAGTGCGTTGGAGCCATTCTCTAGTAGAATTTGAAACATGCATGGCGGCGTTGTCCTGCTGCAGCACATACAGGGGGAGGGCAAAAAAAAGTCATTCCGGCCGAGCGAAGTTTTCGCAGCCCAGACAGAGGAAGTGGATATGAGTACCAGGGCGGAAGATACCCAAGATCTTCCTCTATAAGCAGGAGCCGGCTGCCGCCATTCACCTTCATGTACACCAAAATATGAAGTCATCTCCAGTCGCGGCCTGAGTGGAGAACGCCTTTGGAATTCACGTGGCCTCCAAACAGCTGCGGAACTTCTTGAATGGAATCACCCATGGATAGCTGTACTCTTGATCTGCAAGAA